GACCCTGGAAGCCTGTGCAGGGATGTAGAACTGTGATATTAGTTGCTTGGTGAAGTGTGAGCAGTCAAGCTGAGGAGTTGCAGATTCATTTAGTTACAACTGAATGGACATGAAATGGTTTCTCTGTTGGGACAAATACCCTAGGTACTAGAAAACAAGATGCTGGAAGCCCTACTTAAAATTGGAGCCAAAAGAAAAAGCTGAGGTTTAGTGTAGTTTTGTAGGTATTTCATTAAACTAAAAAATTTCCAAAGGAGGCTGAAGTTACCTGATTTTTTTGCAAGGTTGTATGTTTTCCAAATCCAACAAGTGTAGCAGTCCTCCCAAACATTCAACTTCAGTGTCCCAAACTCCAGCCCTGGTTCATAGATCACCACAGATGTCATCTTATTACATTTAAAATTGGAGTAAATAACCTTCTAAGGTTACAGACAAATAAATTATGTTAAGGAAGAACATGACAAGAAAACTGGTGGTGAGCATGATTATTTTATTAATACTTGAAAAATGAAGATATGGTGAAGGGATTTCTTGTCACTGTTTTAAATAATCCACTTTAGTTTCAAATTTGGTAATTAAACACGTCTTTTAAGCTGTTTTAGAAACATGCTGCAGAGGATGGTGGTTTAGTCTAGATGTTAGATGGCTGCACTATAGCCTGAAGTAATAACTTAAGCTATCATATTTTTCAGATTGATTGGCAAGTCAGTTTGGATGTTTGTGTCAAACATAATGGCATTTTGTGCTTATACAGGATTACAGAACTTGACTAAAATTGGCACTTGGGCTTTGGGAATAGGATGATATTGGAGTCTGCTCATAGTGCATAATCACCACATTCCTAGCTGTAAATGTTCTGTGTCTGTAAGATTTTCCTAAACTTTGTTTAAAATTATTTTCCATCAGTGTGACTTTGCTTAAGTACAGTTTATTTTGCTTGTAATTTTTTTTGCCAGAATTCATCATTCTGGTAAAGTCTTTACTGTCCTGCTATTGAAAAACGTTACGATGTGTGATTTCTAGGTTGTAAATGTGGATATGCCCATTACTGATGACTTGGAGCTCCAGAAGTACTCAAAGGTATGACTTACATGATGGTTTCCTTCATGGTATATGTTGGCAGAGTAATCCTAGGAGGGCATGACACAATTCTAGATTTATCTGTTTCAGTCATTTGGTGGCTTTGTGGCTCTATCTTACTTTTCCATACAAAGTGTGCCAACATTCTGAACTGGTCCTATACCTTTTTGTAGCATAGGCAAATGAACCTTTTAACACCCCTTTCTTATCCCTCCTCCCAAAAAAAAAAAAGGCCCCTAAACCCAAACCATGTGTATAAGCATCAAATTTTGGGGTATGTAGTTGCATTGAAATTCAGTTGTTGAAAGCCACTACAGAATGGAGCAGAGGTTGGAACTCTGCTAACAATGTTGTCATCCTGCAGAGGAGTTTGCCACAGTGATCCTGGCTCAGGGGTGGGGAGGACCATCTAACCAAAATGGTCAGAACTGAACTTAATTTCACTCTTCTGAGACTTCCGAGAGATTTTCAAGGTGTCTATGTTAATATGGTGCAAAGGAGATCTGTGGAGATGATTCATTTACATGCTTGTGGGGGTGTCTCAGTGGAGAAGGGCCATGAACTCCTAATCAGACATGAGTGTGAGGGAATGTTGAGGGCAATGAATTGCTCCTTTTACATGAATATCTAGAATTAATTTGGAAGCAGAAGGACAGTCAGCATTTCAACTTAAGTAATAAAAAGCCAGAAATCAACCAAACCAAAGGAGCAGATACTGCTGCTCATCTCTTCTCCTCAGGTTGCCATGATTTCTGCTGTCTTGTCTGGGTACTGTGTCAGTTTTATACTAGCCTTCCATTAACAGATCTAAGACACTAATAGTTGGAGGCTCCCTAGAGAAAAATTCCAGATTAAGGAGGTCCACTGGGAAAGAGCTAACACAAAATCAGGCATTTCACCTTGCAGAAACAAGGATGCCAGTATTATTAGCTATTTGCAGGGGACACTTCATGGATATTTCTCCTGCCTCAGTGTAGCTCCTAAAGGAGTGAGACAGCTGACTGCGAGAGAAGTTTTTGTGGGGATTATAAAATTTTTTTTTCAGTTTTGTTGAAAACTGCCCTGGTTTACACTGGGACAGAATCCCAAGCCTGCCTGTGGTCTGCAGGCCATTAGCAGGTTGGAATCAGGGCAGCTGACCCAAGCTGGCTGCAGGTGGATCCCAGACCATAAACATCATGTTCAGTATAAAGGGGGAAGTTTGCTGAGAACAAGGGGGTGTCCTGACCCTTTTCCTGCTCCCGAGGACTGCCCTCCCATTTGCTGTGACCACTGTGCATTTACTGGGCTGAATATAACTTTGTTTGCTTTATACTGTCTTTGGTATCAGTTTGGCTGTTTCATTAAATCCATTTTTATTTCAATCCATGAGTCTCCTCTCCTTTTCCTGATCCCCATTCCTGTCTGGAAAGGGGAAGCAACTGCTGCAGTTTAGCCCCAGATATGTGTTAAAGGAAGACAAGCCTTTTGGTTAGGATAGACTTCAGGTGGTACTTTTTTTCTGCATTTTTTCCAGTATGCTAACCCTGTTTAAGAATACAGTTCAGATTGCCTTTTCCCCCAGAGAACAGATGGGGGTTTTTTAATTTGTGCAAATATTTTATATAGAGAAATTATGGACAGATGATGTCAGTATGAAGACTTAATCTTACTGTGTGCTTAGTTTAATTTGAGCTACTGACTCTTATTTGTGTTTATATTGTGGTTGATAAAGATATAGACATTCTCAGCCATACTTACCTTTTGGCAGCTATTACCCATCCACACGCTGAGATTAGGAGTTGAGCTTGACACGTTTGATGGACATCATTATATATCATCCATTGCTTCAGATGGTCCAGCTGCAACACTTGGTCTTCTGCAATTGGAGGATGAACTTCTGGAGGTAAAAACCAAAACACCCCTCACCTCCAAAACAAAAGGGATATATTTCCTGTTTGCTTAGCCTTCTTAAAAATGCTTGTATTAAATTCTAGTTTGGCTGCTGTGTGTGTTCGTAGTAGTATTCAAGAGTGGGTTGTGGAAGTAGTTGGAGTAGTGCTTTGGAAGCCACATTAATTTCCTTCACTGATTCATTCCTCCTCTATGGACAAAATGTCAAATACTTGTGACCTTTTAGTGAATTCATGAGTTTTTTTAAATTAATTTTTAGCATGAGTACCAAGAGTTACAAGGGCAGAGATAATATTTGTGTTGCATGTATTTCTACCTCTGGTCCTTTAGCTCAGTCTTTTGAGCAGTTTGACATCAGCTTTTGTGGTGGATAATCTTTCTTAACATTTGTCACCCCTAAAAAATTTACAGCAGTCTCAGGCATAGTGGTTCCACTTATGCATGATAACTTGCTTGCTGAGTGTTGGAAGACATTTGTGTGTATGAGCTGGTACATCAGTTTGTTTAAATATGTATAAAGAGGTATTGGGGCAGCTTTGATGTTATCAGAATCAGACCAGACCTATTTGCTCAGGAGAAGTATTTATTTGGTAGTATTAAAACAATACCCATTTCCTGTGCATCCATGTATCTACCAGCATCTCATCCTGCAAGTGAAAAGACTTAATTTCTTGTTGAATACCCACTCTTTGTGGAATATTTAGAATTTGAACCTTTTTTTTTTGTGGATGCAAAGAACATTTAATTGACATCAATGGGAACAGAATTAGGCCTTCTGAAAGATTAATTTGTTAGGGGTACAGCTCTCTTGCTTGTACTTGTTGCTCACTCTTTAACATCAAAAATTCATACTGATACCACTAAGACCTAAAACATTTTTACTGCCTAATGGAGGAAATCTTGATTCTTAAAGGAAGAGATTAATGGAATGCTGGAAGTGTTGCTTAAATTCTTTGGCCATTAAAGAAAAAATGGTACACAAAAAACAATAATGCAGTGCTCTAGAGTAACTTGGGAAACTCTAATTGTATATATTTAGCATGTTTTTGTATTACTGTGTACTTATAATTAAGTTCACAGATCTGTCCAGACCTAGTGAGCATAAATTTTTTTTAAAAAAAAAAAAAAAAACAAAATAAAAGTGTGCTCCAGGGCTAAAGCTATATATGCCAGGCTTAACCCAGAGTATGTTTTTGCAGCCAAGTTATAAAACGCCTTAAGTAGGGGTTTGCAATGGAAAAAGTGACAGCCCATTCCCCAGACCAGCAGCTCTACCTGGGCCTGATACAGCCGGGATTAAAATGTGATCAGCAAGGGATTTTTTTCAATATATAGTGTGGTTGAATGTTGATTATTCTTAATGGCGTGTTTGAGTTATGATAGAAAGCATGGTATTTTCTTCCTCCCCTTTCCCCCTCGATTTTAGCTAATTTCATTGTGTTCTTTTTTAGGAGAAAATTGCTTCCTTGTGTCCTAGTTTTGTTATAACATTTCCCTCACTCCTACCTGGTGGCACAACTAACTAGAGTGGGGTGGTGAATGAGTGGGGTGTTGAGCACCTTGTGTGTTTAGAGGCTGATTTCTGGCAGCTGCAAAAGAAGAAACAGGAGTCCCCAAGTCTGCCCTGGAGTGTGGGGTAGCTCTTCTCCATCCATCATGGTATTCTGAGAAGTGCTGGTAGCTTTCCACCACGCTGCCACTCTCAATGCATTAAAAAATCCTTATGCGTAGCTACTTCTGCGTAAATAATTAACTAATGGATTAGCCTGATAGCTCAGCAGTTGCTGTAATTCTTGCAGAAAAAAAAACATAGCAGTTTCTTACCATCTTGGAGGCCAGTTACAGAAAATGGTGGCTCAAGTGGATTGCTGTGTATTCTTGGACAACACTTGAGTCCCTCTAAAGAGCAAGGAGATCTGAGGAGTCTAAGTGGAGGCTCTGCCTCAAGCACACATGTTCAGAGGGGTGTACACATGTCATATATTTATGTGCCATATTTTCTAGGATTAAATGTGAGTTTGTCTACATTAACATTGCAGTTTGGGTTTGGAGTGAAATAATGAAGAGAATCTTCAGTTAGCCCCATTTAGTGTGCTTTGGTTCTTGCTGAACTCGATCTTAATGGTCTTTACCAACTTAAATGATTTGTGTGGTGAAGTGGACTTGGATGATGTGTACTGGATTATTAAAACAGTGGTTGCACTCCAGCAACTTTGGACATGTGGTCATGAGAGCAGACTTGAGGTACCCTGAAAGAAATCCCTGAAACACAGGAGGTGTCAGGATTGAGTCCATAGCATTGAGTTAAAGACCTGCTCTTTTGGGACTGCACTGCTTGCCAGCATAGGTGGTGATCACCTCTCCTACAGGGACAGGCTGAGAGAGCTGGTGCTGTTCAGCCTGGAGAAGAGAAGGCTCCAGGCAGACCTTGTGGTAGCCTTTCCAGTACCTGAAGAGGCCTACAGGAAAGCTGGGGAAGGTCTGTTCACAAGGGTGTGTAGTGACAGGACAAGGGGCAATGGTTTTGAACTAGAGCAAGGTAGATTTAGATTGGACATTAGGAAGAAGCTCTTTACTATGAGAGTAGTGAAACACTGGAAGAAGCTGCCCAGAGAGGTGGTGGAGGGCCCATCCCTGGAGACATTCAAGGTCAGGTTGGTTGTGGCTCTGACCAACCTGCTCTAGTTGCAGATGTCCCTCCTCACTGCATGGGGGTTGCACTAGATGAATTTTAAAGGTCCCTTCCAACCCAAAGCATACTCTGATTCTGTGATGTTCACATCTGTGACAGCTACTGATGTTTTGCTTTCTTCATGTGTCAGGACGGTGCAGGTGGATGTACCCTGTGATATTGCAGGTTATAAAGTACAGAAAACCACTCTGGTTGTTCTTTCCTGAGGAAGTACAACTGCAGTATCCCATTTTCAAAGCAGCATCACTGTATGTCTGTCTATCTATCTACTTTTTATTTTATAAAGTCTGTGGTTTAAAACATCCATTAACAATGGCCTTAGGGTCTTCTTGTTGTCCCTCAGGATCTAAAGCTTATGGATGGTAAGCTTTGACCCATGTCAGTTTTTCTGATTAATTGCTTACTGTAATTGGTTTCTTTTTAACTGTATAAACATTCTTGTGCATTTTCTGTAGGATCTATTTTAGTTTCAAACGTTTTGTTACATTTTAAACAACTGATAAAGCTGTGCAAGTTCTGACTTCACGTTTTTGGATCAAGGTCAAAATGTGTGTTTTCTTAAAATATTTTTAACTAAATTTTTATCTTTTTAATTCAAAAGCCTACACATAATGATGATAATAATAATAATAGATCCCCAGCAAAGAGGTGAGAATGAAATAACAATGGTAGGAAAGGTGCAGGCTGGCAAAAGCAGTGAACAGAAAACAAGTTAGAGGAAGGTGAGGAAAGCAGAAACATGATGTTGAAGAAAGTAGCTTCAGGACCTTGCAGGTGAGGTTTAAGTTATGCAGCAATGCAGGTGTACCTCAGGGGGAACTCCAGGCCTGTCAGCATGACCTCAGTGCCGGGGAAGACTATGGAATGGTTTATCCTGGGGGAGATTATGCAGCAAGTGTGGGAGAAGAGGGGGATCGGACCCAGCCGACATGGGTTCATGAAGGGCAAGTCCTGTTTGACCAGCCTGATCTCCTTCTAGGATCAGCTGACCCGTCTAGTGGATGAGGGAAAAGCAGTGGATGTGGTCTACCTGGACTTCAGGCAGGCACTTGACCCTGTTTCCCACAGCATTCTGCTGGAGAAGCTGGTGGCTCATGGCCTGAGCAGGTGGACTCTTGGCTGGGTTAAAACCTGGCTGGCTGGCCGAGCCCAGAGAGCTGTGAGGAATGGAGTTAAATCCCCTTGGTGACCACACACGAGTGGTGTCCCTCAGGGCTCGGTTTTGGGGCTGGTCTTGTTTAGTATCTTTATCAGTGACCTGGCTGAAGAGATTGAATGCACACTCAGTAAATTTGCAGATGACACAAAATTAAGTGGAAATGTTGATCTGCTGGAGGGTAGGAAGGCTCTGCAGAGGGGTCTGGACAGGCTGGAGCAATGGGCTGAGGTCAACGGGGTGAAGTTTAACAAGGCCAAGTGCCAGGTCCTGCCCTTGGGTCACAACAACCCCGGGGAAGCCTCCAGGCGTGGGAGGAGTGGCTGGAAAGGTGCCTGGTGGAGAAGGACCTGGAGGTGCTGGTGGACAGCCGGCTGAACAAGAGCCAGCAGTGTGCCCAGGTGGCCAAGAAGGCCAATGGCATCCTGGCCTGGATCAAAAATGGCATGACCAGCAGGAGCAGGGAGGTGATTGTGCCCCTGGACTTGACACTGGTGAGACTGAACCTTGAGTACTGGGGTCAGTTTTGGGCACCACAGAATAAAAAAGACATGGAGGTGCTGTAGCAGGTCGAGAGAAGGGTAGTGATGCTTGTGAGGGGGCTGGAAAACATGCCTTATGAGGACCAGCTGAGAGAACTGGGGTTATTTAGCCTAAAGAGGAGGCTGAGAGGAGACCGTATTGCTCTCTGCAACTACCTAAAGGAGGTTGTAGTGAGACTGGTGTTAGTCTCCTCTCCTGAAGTACTGATGATAAGATGAGGGGAAATGGAATCAAGTTGACGCAGGGAAGATTTCGATTAGATAATAGGAAGAATTTCTTCACCGAGAGAGTGGTCAGACACTGGAATGGGCTGCCCAGGGAGCTGGTGGAGTTGTCATCTCTGGAGGTGTTAAAAAACCAAGTAGATATGGTTAGGGAAATGTTGGAGGAAGGTTGGACTTGATTATCCTGAAGGTCCTTTCCAACCATGGTGGTTCTATTATTCAGAAGCATACAGTAAGAAAACTACGCAGGCTTTGCCAGAATCCTCAGGTAAAACTGGACTTTCTATTCAACGGGGAAGACATGTATGCAAAGAAATTTCGTAAAAGAATCTGTCTGATATTATTTTAATTCTCTTATTGTGGATGTATGTCTCCCCTTCTGTGCAGGTCAATGGGGTTGAGCTGTGCGGGAGGTCACGCCGTGAGGCAATCACTTTTCTAAAAGAGGTGCCACCCCCCTTTACCCTGGTTTGCTGTCGGCAGCTCTTTGATGATGGCAATGAGTCCCTTGTGGATGAACCCACCACGGGAGCTTCCCCTCCAGAGCAAAAGGTAGACTTCTCATGTCATTCTGTTGTGTAAAAGGACAGTGACTTTTTGAAAAAGTGCCTGTATTTCTGAGAAAGTCATTTAGCTTTCTAAAGACACTGGTTGGGTTTTTTTTTTTCCCTTTTACTGTTTGATCCAGACCACTTTTCAGTCTTAACATTTCCTAAAAGATATAGTCATATGAAGCAGTTTTGTATTAAATTGTCATATAAAGGTGCCTCAGCCATTCACTTTGGATTCATAAAGGGTAGCTGGTGTTTCAGTGAACGATGGTTCTTGTTTGCAACACGAGTACTTTTAGTACAGTTTGTACAGGCTGGTCATGAGAAACTTCATTGTACTATAAATACCAGGCAGGTAAATGGCCATGCTGACTATGGACACACATTCATCATTCTTACACTTAATAGGTGAGTGAGAACTCTGAATTATACTAAATCACATCCTTGCCACCATTAGCTGATTACTTCCATATTCTGAGTAGGTTTTTATAGAACTGGGAAAAAATGAACTTAATGTTTCTTTCCATTGCAGAAGCTTTAAAGTCTCAGACTAAAGCTTCACACTTGTCATGGTTGTTCCCATTATAAAAAATATTTACACCTTGACTTCTCATCCTTTTTGATCTAATTTCCTCAGAGGTGGAGAGTTAAACAAGAAATATGGATGTTTCATGGAAGAATGAGGTGTACAGTATTATGCCTTTTTGTAAAAGACCCTTTTTGTTGCAATAGCACTTGTTCCACTGTGCTTTTTGATGTTGAATTTTACCATGTGCAGCATGTTGGTTGAACATCTTTGCCATAAGGTGATATGAGTGAGCAGAGGTTGCCTTCTCCTTAGAGCAATCTCACAATATTTCTGCTTTCCTTTGTCAAGAGGACCAAGAACATGTGGAAGAAAAATTTCTTCCATTTCTGTCATGGCACTGCTCTGTATAATAGGCATATGTGTCCAAAGAAATAAAGTTAAATCATTGTGAAGTTAATGGTGCAAGACGTTTTTCCTGGGGTATCACACATTGATGTTTTGTAAAGATTGTATTCATAAAACAGCAGTAATATTAAAACACAAATTTATAGACAATGAAAGATGCCTTTTTGGAAGATATACATGAAGCTGTCCTTACCCAACAAAATTGGGTCACTATCCCTCTTTCTTTTATACCTTAGCCCAAAAATTGTGAAAGAAACTGCTTTTTCAGATGAGGTACTATTTGTATACTTACAGTATAAGATTTTTTTTTTTTTTTTCAAATTTAATGCTGCAAGTACCAGAAGTGCCTGATCACTTGGTCTTTCTATTAGCTGTCTGTGATTAAATCTTTTATGCTAAGATGTTTATTTTTCCTTTATGCCTCTAATGGGACAGTTGAAGTTCATCAGCTTGTAACAGGTTAGTAATATTATAACAACTAATTTGACTGATACATGAATATTTGTGTGCCAGGTTGGGTCCAAGGCTCAAAACACAGAGGCATAGTGCCAAGGGAGTATCCAAGGCAGCAAGCTGGAGAAAACTGAGATGCATAATGTTCCATGAAGTTGTAATTCCATAAAAGGTCATATTTTAGGGCATGTATGAGCTATTAATAATAAAAATATTGAGGGAATGGTGTGTGTAAAGAACTGGGAGAATAGTGTTTGAACTAGAGCTTTTGTTTTTCAGGTAAAACCAGAGGAAGACATTAATCCTGAGGAGGAAGAAGGGGAATTAGCATTATGGTCTCCTGAGGTGAAGGTTATTGAACTGGAGAAAGACAGAAATGGTTTAGGATTCAGCATTTTAGACTATCAGGTATATACTTTTTTGTGTAACTGAATACTAAAAATCCCTTTAATCTTGTATAGTCCCTTTAAAATGTTTTGTACTGGGTACTTGGGCCTACAATCTGTGTAGGGCAAAGTAATTTATTTTGAGGCCATCTCTATAAAGTATAGTGTAGGGCATGTTCTAAACCAGTCTGATTATCAGACGTGATAAAGTGCAAAATCTTCAATCAAACTCCACCTCATAACTCTGAGTTTAATGGCTAAATGTTGGCAGGAGGTTGGGTTTTGTTTTAACTTGAAATGACTTTTCAACTATGAGTGTGGTATTGCAACATCATTTCCTATGTACCCAACTTAATGAGTCTTTTGCTTTTTCTCCCCTCACTGCCTCAAATCACCTTTAATTTATAGAGTGTAGGCCCATGCTGACACGTGGTTTGTGGTCCCACTCAAGTCATGGAAAGATTCACTCAGGCTTTGAACTGGGCCATGAAGAGCAGAGTCTGCAGAGGTAGCTTCATCAGGACTGGCCTTCACAGTCCAAAGGGAACACTGGGGCTGACAAGTGAATTGGTCTTGCAAAACAAGTTTCTGTAAACACAGATTTGCTTTAATACATCTATTTAATTTATTAGTATAAAAATAGAGATTGAAGAATCTAGTTAAGAGTGGTTCTGTTATGCTTTTCTGCTTGAGATATTAAACCAATATGCCAGAGATACAGGTAGAACAGGTAGGGGGGAAGTTAGCTTTCAAAAGTAATTCATAGCTTAAAACATGATTTCTCCAAGAAGAACCATTTTGGGGTAGATTATACACTTGATTTCTAAGGAGTTTAACAATTAACAGACAAACCTATAACTGGGGGGCAAATTCTACTACAATTAATGAGGCCTCCTTTCAAAACTATTGGTTTCAATTCAGGATGTAGAAACTCTTAAAATCTGTAGTCAGAAAAATTTTCTTCATGTTTCTAGTCAACGTGAGGTATTTTTAAACCTCTAGCAATCATATTTATAAGGAAATAAAATAGCTGGATCACTCTGTAATAATATACACATCACATCTGAATTCTGCCTAAAACGTCGTCGTGTAATAAAATGTGTTCAACTGTTGTGCATAAACGTCAAGTAACATAAAATTCTCTTTTTGATACAATAAGGCATGAATTGGGAATGAATGAGAATAAAAAATATCTGAAGTATTATGCAAACCCATTAATTCTATATTTTTACCCGTGTGATTTAAGATTGCTGAAAATAGATCCCGTTAGTCACTTTTGCTGACACATGTTGTGTCGCAGTGCCAGCTTTACTGTAGAGTTGCTAGGAGTCTTTACAGAGCAGTAACACACAGATTTGCTTTTAAGTTCTCATATAATCAGAATTAATGAAGGCTTTAATAACAGGCTTTTTATTTACTTATTCGCAGATGCAAATACACGAGCGATGTTGTGGTACTTTCAGCTAAATTTAAATACATTCTAATCAGTTCTAAATGAGTGGCAAACCACTTAATCTCAGATCTTTATAATTTCAAGATATTTATGTATAAAGTGTGCTCTTTTGTTTGGGATTTGCCTCTTAGATCTTTTACAGTTTTCATCATCTGCAGATTAATTTTTATAGAGAGATATTTGTGACTGTGTCTGTGTTTATGTAAATACATCCATCACATTCTGGAGTGCAGGGCAAAGAAAATAAATAATTGTCCGTGCTAGATTGCAGGCAGGGGAAAAAAAAAAAACCAAGTATGTGGTTCCTGGGAACAGAAAAGCAGATTTGCTGAGAAGCACAAAATTACAGTGAAGTGTTTAATTTGGGCTTAAAGGACCTGGAGACATAACTCTGTTTTTTACATTTCTTTTTTGGAAATTTACTGTTCTTTAAGATATTGGAAATTTGGTTGGTTGTTTTTTAGGTGCATGCCCTTTGTTTTGCAAGAAAAGATTCAAGCCTTATAATGGCAAGTGACACTCCTTGCACGAGATACCCACTGTTGATTTTGTTCTTCTTGAGTAATCAGATGGGGGTTTCTATTATTTTATTTTATTTTATTTTTGAATGAAGATGGGTATTCATGTGGCCTAGCTCCATGGATCAGTGCATCAGTGAGAGACCAGCCTTTTTAGGCTCCTGTTAGTGTTGTTGGAGGTAGGCTGGGCAGCAAAACACCTTTTAAGAGGTGATTCTGGGCAGAAGGCCTGTTGGTGGTGGTCATAATTACATACCTAAGGACTGGCTCTCTCTCAAACCAGCAATGCACTAACATTACTGCAGTACCCACGTGCACCAGCCCATTTTGGTGGCTTCTTGTGAGGGGCTTGTGACTTATCTGCAATATTTCAGACATGCTGCTCGTACAGGCGTGTTTGTGACAGTGAGCCATGCCAGATGCACCACTGGAAGAATGCTAAGCAATTAGAGACCAGGCTGCTTAAAGGGCTGTGGAAGTTTCTTCCTACTGCTCTCCTTTCATATTTGGTATCTGTTTTGAAGCACAGGGCTTTTTACCTTTCCATCTTAGTTTTGATTGTAGAATTAGACATGGCGCTGAATGCTCTCAGGGTGTATAATTTATAATATTTGTCATTTTGTTTTCTCAAAGCTGACTACATACTTGGCATAAAGGGTCTTGTGCCTCAGTTGTCTGAAACACTGTGCTTCCTAAGGCAGGCTCTGAAAAAAAGTGTTAATAAAAACTCTTTAAGAGGTAGAATAGGAACCTGAGTACATAGAAAACTGAATGCTGAGATCAAGAAAATATTACACTAGTATATTAATTTTTAATGGACTGTCTTTCTAATAATGTTTCATCTATCAAATAAATGATAAGCCTATCCCAAGTGACTCGCAGGGTATTCCCAGAAATGTACAAGCATAATTCCAATGCCTATATATTTTAATGAACTAATTACAAATTAATTATACCAATTACGCATAATCAATAGCATTGCTACTTTTTTCTGTGTTTTCTTTTGTCTGTCTTTAGGGATTTAGAAGGCAGCTCTCTTTTAAGCATCTCTTTTTAATAAGCTCCTCTTGGAAGGCCTGTACACATTCCTAAAAATTTGGGATACCCTTAGAGAAATAGCTGTGCCCTCTTTGCACAATGATTTGTAATTACCTGGTAGGAAATCTCCAATCTTTGAGACTGCTGCTCTGCCAGCAGGGTCAGTACTTGGCGAGAGGGGAGGGGGCTGGGGAGGCTGCTCTGGTGTGTCCCTGAAACAATCGGTTTCACTCGACTTTCTTTTTCCCCTCCCGGTGTGATGGCTTATTGAAATAAGAAACACTGAAGAGGTCTTACAATGAAACCTTCTGTGTATTTTTCTATTGTCACCACTGTGTTGGGATCTTGTCAAAGCTCTTAGGCCAGGCATTGCTTTCTCTTGATAATGCTCTGGTGAAAGGCCTGTGGAAGGAGAGGCTCAGTGTGCCGCGCTCCCTGCAGCTGATAACACATGGAGCTCAGCAGAGGCCCAAGGAGCAGCCTGGCCATGCTCACCATTCTATCTCCAGCAGGGACCTTGCCCCCCTTCTGGCCATTAAAAAGGTGTGCTGTTCGGTCTTCTGGCCAACTTCTCCCTGAAGCAATATACTCTCCCTCCCTTAATTTCCTTGTAATTTCAGTTGGAGAAGTTGCTCTCTTTTCCACCTCCTAACTAACTTTTATGTAGTGTTGCTGGCACAGTTAGCGGCAAGTACGTTTTGATGGCGAATGGGGGACCCAGTATGCTGTTTGGAGAGTGCTTTGGGATCATCTGAGATGCAGGGGGCTGTGGTGAGCATATTTATTGTGCTTTGTCAATAGACGTGCGAGTATCCAGCTTGACAGTAACTTTGTCTAGCCTGAAGCTAAACCTCCAAGCCAGCAAGTCAAGAGCTAAGCCATTGTTATTGAGACCAATCAGTTTTCTTAGAAAGAAATTAAAATGGATGAGGGCATGGTATGTCATCAGGTTAAAATAGAGGAGAAGGGCTCTATAAAAACCATGGTGATCCCAGGGCGTTAGAGCAAGAAGAAAGAAAAATCATACAAGGTGAAGACTTCCAGAGGAAAAGAAGAGATCACAATAGTATAAAAGGTACTTTGAGTGGCCCTGAAACAGTGACCCTTTACTAAAGACCTGATGCATGCAGCCCAACAGATTCTGTCTGTGATGTTCTACAGAATTATTGGAAAAACCACAGGTAGCTGAATTGCAGATTTCTCGAGGCAGTATTGACCAGAAGGTAACTTGAATGGTCTGATGAGCTTTTATCAAATTAAACAAAAAGCTGAATAGACTTTATGTGGAGCTTAATTTACTGTGCTTTGAAGTCAGGGTATTTTAAAGCAGCTGTTCTAAAGTGTGTGAAACTGGAGAGGGCAAGGGTTGAAACAGAAAGGGTTGACATTTTACATAGCTCTTAGGAATGCCTGTAAGATGCTGTTTCTCTCCATCTCTGCTTGAGAGGTGAGTCCCCCATGCCCAGCTGCTTTTGCACAGTACCTAGCTGCCCTATAGACCTGCGGGGCTGTAGAAGCTCATAGGCAAATCTGCTGCAAGAGGATGTAAATACCTACACATCCATGGAAGCAGTAACAGGCATTTCAGCACTGTTAGGAGCTTCATGTTACCCAGAACTGAAACAGCATGAGGTGTGCCTGGGTCAGTGGTCAAGGGGGTTCAGACCATAGTCGAGCAACAGGGACTCCACAGCCACCTTATTCCTGGCCTGATCTTTATTATCACCAGCAGCTTTTTCTTGCTGTTCAACGTTGAACTGAAGCCTTTTCTGCTGCACATTCAGTAGGTTATGTTTTGTCCTTCTCCCAGGGAGCATGGGAAACAATTGTTTTCTTTTTTATAACAAAATCACTGCATAGTCATTCACAGCAGGAAGTGAAGCAATTTAAGTGTCTCCAAATATCTTTCCTCTTTTCTTTACGCCCCAAACAAACAGGCTCCAGATGTAGACTTACAAAAAAAGCAAACTGATTTCTTATTTGTAGAAGGTAGTGTTCAACTAGATAATATTT